GCTAAGCTTTTAGAACTCCTTCTCTTCACTCTTACCTGATGATTCCTAATTTCAAAACAATTACAGTCTTTACCAACCATCTGACAGCAGAAATGTGACTGGGTCTGGATTAGAAATATCCCTGTCTATCTCGGGCTTCCAAGTATTTTCTAAAGAGATGACTGTTAAAAATAAGCACAAAAATGAATAAAACTTGCCAGACTTTTGCTTTGCTGTTACAATTTTAACCTGATTAATTAATTTAAAAAAAAATACATAAATACAGAATCAGACTTTGAAAAACTAAGAAGAAATGTTCCTGCCAAAACCGACAAGACAGATACTATTAATGCAATTTCTCCACAAAAGGAGTATTTGACCTTGGCTATTGCATATGTGGTATTGTTGACTTCTTTCTTGGCCAACCAAGATCTTCCCTTTCTACTCTTGTGTGTGTTTGAGCTCCACTAGTTCTACAAAACTCTAAAATTTGCCCACTAAATTCCTTTTTTTTTTTTTTCTTAAAGTGAGCCAGCCTGGGTTTCTATGGCCCAAACACTAAAATTGTAACCAATATGCTGGTTAGTATACTGCCCCACACCTCTTCTTCCTGTCCCGCAATGTCTAGCCATTAAGCAGAGATCAGAAAACAAACTGGAATTAGGGAAATGAAGAATGGGAGGCCATGAAGGAAGGGATTCTTTCAGCAGCACACCACGCATGTGTGAGACACGGAGACAGGAGACTGTGTGTCCTTGTAACACCAGGGAGCCAGAACTAGGACCATTCCACTTTTCCGTCTAAGATTTTTATATGTATGTGGAGTCCAGCCGAGTCTCAGCAGCAGGTGCATGTCCGGATCCCACAGCCAAGTGGCTGTGGTTGGGAGAACCCATGTGGTCCAGGCTTCCTGCTGGGGATCCTAGCTACCCATCCACTGCTGCTAGGCAGGGGGAGGATCCTGGGCTTGTGGTCAGCCAAAGCATCAACTGGCACCAGGCTTTGACACTGGCCACCTGGCAGTGAGCTCTGGGATCTTGGGGTATGGACGAATTATTGCCGAGGAACATCCATGGATTAGGCCACTGTACATGCAGGTGAGGAATGAATCCTGAGGGACATTCAACAACAAAGCCACTGTATTTGCAGGTAAGGAGACTGAGACCTGGTAGTTTGGAAGGGAGAGACCTAAAGATCTTTATGGGTCAGACTGATGCAGAGTCCATACGGGAGTCTTGGGTTGGACTTGTTAGCATGGAACATGGCTGACCAGCACACGCCAGCCTACATGCAAGCTATGGCTGGGAGCCTGTATGGCAGGGCTAGATCCCAGTACTTGATAGTGAGTGTCAGATCAGGGGATGGGTCATATTAGACCGGACCATGACAACAACCAGCTTGCAGGAGAACCAGGTCCGGGGGTGGATTCTGTGAGAGAATATGTGGGTCCAACCCTATGACACTACAAGTCGCGTTGGTTAGCTTGAGAATTGGGATGGCGATGGGCTGAGTTAGGCATGATCATAGAACTCACTGATGCTCACTGGTATTCGGGCTGGGTATACCAGAGGGACAGGTCTACGCTGCAGCATCTGCATGAGCACCCTAAAACAGGAGGTAGGGGGGCCGGGCCACACCAGCTCATACAAAGGCCAGGACAGATGGGGCAGACCATGCCAGGTAAGGGCCAAGCACCTTCTGGCATGAGTGAAATCTAGGTCTGGGAGTCGCCCAAATGGGGGAACCTGGGAACCCCACCCCCAGTGGGTCATAACTCCTACTGATGAATGCATGGTTCAAGCCTGGGTATTGGGCAGGCTGGGCAGGGTAGCTCCATCTGTAGCAAGTACATGAGTTGGTTTTGGGAGGGGATGGATCAGGCGGGGCCAAGCAAACCATAGCCCATGAGCAAATGCAGAAACCAGGATGGAGTGCAGGTCATGCCAGACTAGGCTGCCATACATAGTGGTTTGCATGAACTAGGGATGAGAACGGATTGAGCAGGGCCAGTTTTGCAGCACTTGCCAGCAAGAGTTGGGACTTGGGACAGCTATGCCAGGTCAGGCTGCAGCATCTGAAGCCAGAGGCCAAGACAAGAGAGGACTATGCCAAGCTAGGTCAGAGAAACCACTGGCACGTGTGTGATATGTGGCTAGGACACGGCCTGGTTGGGGAGCTAAGGGGATGCCCTGTCTGAGTTGTGGTTCCTATTGGTGAGCACAGGGACTGGAGTGGGGGCTGCTGTCTGGTCTGGACATGGCTGCAGTCTCCCTCAGCACAGGTATGGACTGGGTCTGGGGTCTGCCAGACTGGCTAGACTCCAGCACCCACTGGTAATCATGAGAACCAGGGTAGGTGTACCACAGACTAGGCTAGGTCTCTGCCACGGCTGAGCCATGTGTGAGTTGTGCCTGGGTGTGTACCAGACTTGGCTAAGATGTACCACCCAATAGTAAGAACCAGAATGGATGAGGACCAGTCAGAAAAGGCTTCTGTTCCTGTTAGGAGAGGAGGTAGACTAAGTAGGATTTGCTCATGGACCCACCAGTATGTGCAAGATCTGGCATTGGGAGAGGTTCTGATAGAAGAGCTTGGGAAACTCCTCTGGCAAGACACAGTCCCTGCAGGTGAGCACAAGAACCAAGAAACAAGAAAGGGAGCAGCTCAGACCAGGCCAGGGAAAGATACGCACCAGCACACATTTGGCGCAGGTCAGGGGCAAGCCAGGCTAGGCCAGTTCATATCACCCACTGGCAAATCTGAGAGCCAGAATGGTGTGTGGGTCAGGCCAGGTAGGCCAAAATACCAGACAGTTTGCATGAGGGCTGGCTGGGCTGGCTAGGCTGTTGCCCCCAGCAGCATGAGCTGAAACTGAAGATGGGCCTGGCTGGGCCAGACTATAGCACCCACTGACAAATGCCAAAGTGAGATGGGCCACAGCACCCAACCAGCACACCTGAGACCTGGGGGAACACGGTAGAGGGGTTGCAAGGGACTCCCCTGCTGGGCCACTATTCCCACTGGTAAGCTTGAGAACTAGAATTGGGGGCAGAAAGGCTGGGCAGGGCTACAATAATTGTTGGCTTCATGTGGCATGGATAGGGAGAAAGCCAGGCTTGGAGGACTATACCTACCCGTACATGCATAAGCCAGAGTGGATATGCATTGATCGGGCTTTGCCACAGCATCGGCTGGCAGATGCTGGCACCAGGGGGGAATCTCTGTTGAGCTAAACAGCAATACCACCTAGAGAGTGTAAGATCCAGGAGTGGGAGTGAGACCATTAAGGAAACAGTGGACACCTACCTCGTGGGTTGCCACTCCCAGTGGTGAGCATGAGAACCAGAACTAGGGCAGGTATGGCTAGACAGAGTGGCACCCGCCAGCACATGTGTGGGCAGGAGAGGGGGCTGGTTGGGTTAAGTAGGCTTCAATGCCAATTGATAGGTATGAGAGCTTAATGGGATGTGGGACACACTGGACTAGTCTGCTGTACATAATGGCAAACACAGGAACCAAGGCAAGGGGCAGGACTGGTGAGGGTTATTGCGGGTCACTCCAACTAGGCTACATCCCACAAGTTTGCAAGGGGGCTGAGAGTGGGGTGGGCAAGCTCAGGCTGGACTGCAACACCCATTAGTTTGCATAGAAGAAAGGGCTAGAGACAACTGACCCAGCAATTGCAACTGTGTGCATAGGCCAATCTGGGCAACAGACTGTACTGAACCCTGTGTTGGCATGCACAGCCAAGAATCAGGTCAGGGATCACCTCAGATGAAGTTTCTTTGGGAATCCCCCAACTGAACCACTGGACTCAGAATTCCAACCATGGAGAAAATTGCAGGGTCCATGGTCTGATCGTGGAATGCATATGTCAGAGTTGGGCTCCTAAGTGGCTTAGACGAAACGGTGGACAGCATATCCAGGTGCACATGGAGGATATGGCAGTTCACTGGAGCCTGCAGAGGACACCTAGTACCATAACAGAGGATGGAGGACAAAACAAATCAATCAACTACCCCAGCCAAGAGTTGGTAGTGAGTACCTGGGCAAATGGAGACTCTAAGGTGGAGAGTGTCAGCCAGTGGAGTCTGGAGAGATTTCATTGTGATTGGAGTGGCGAGACTGACAACAATACAGAATTGCTGAACTATCAAAACCTCCTGTACCCTTCGTGGGGGCTCCAGAACAAACTCCGGGCTCCTGGCTTGGCCATGGCTCGTTTGGCCATTTGGGAAGTGAACCGGGGCACGGCAGGTCTCCTTCTCTGTAATTCTTGCTTTTCAAAACCAAATAAATCTTTACATTAAAACCACAGCTGCCACGGAGGTTTTCCCGTCTCCGAAGCCCTGAGTGGAGCCCCGTCACGTTTAAGATGGTGGACACAGGTGAAGGGACCCGTGAGTGTTCACAGTGACTGGTCCATGACGGATGAGCCAGACCTGGGATGCGGCGGGCAAGCCGAGGGCCCAGACCCCTCGGACTGGACAGAGTTCTGTTTGTCACGAGCCCTCGGAGGGCATTCAAGGGAGAAGTCCTAGAGCAAGCCTGCCGCAGAGAAACTTCTATCTTCAGATACGGTCCTTTTCACGGTGAGGTGGGAAAAAAATAAACAAATCAACCGGTCCGGCGTTCCTCAAGCGCAACGGAGCCGTTTAGTCTGGGCGCACCGGAGCAGCGGGCGACGTCGCCGCCTGGAGCCCGAGGCGTTCGCTCGCCAGCTCGCCGGGAGCAGCGTCGCCCAGCGGGCTGAGGCAGCGGGCGTTTTCCGGGGCGCCCGTCCTTCCCTCAGCGGCGGCGGCTGCCGAGCGCCCGCAAACTGCCGCCTCCCGGGGCGGGCGCGGGAGGCGGGCCCCGAGGCCGAGAGAGCGCCGCCATTGGCTGGCGGGGCGGCGGGAGGAGGGGCGGGGGCGCCGCGATTGGCCGGCCTGCCGAGCCGGAGGGGCGGGGCCGCTATATCCGAGGAGTCCCCGTCGCGGCGCAGGCAGTCAGCCGGCTGCTGGAGTGCGGCGCCGCCGCGGAGCACCGGGGCCGGCTGGGGCTGGCGGGCAGGCGGCCGCGCGAGCCAGCGGGGTCGCGGGGTCGGTCTGCAGCTCCCCCTTCCACAGTCAGCCCTCGCCCATCCCGGCGCTGGGTGCGAGCTTTCAGCCAGGCGGCATCCCGCCATCCCCCCTCCCGTGTAGACACCAAAGAGGAGGCGGCTGTGTGGCGGCAGCGGTGGCGGCCCCAGCCATGCTGTGCTATGTGACGAGGCCGGACGCGGTGCTGATGGAGGTGGAGGTGGAGGCGAAAGCCAACGGCGAGGACTGCCTCAACCAGGTCAGGCACCCAGGCCAGGGAGGGGGAAGTCTCCGGTTGGTCTCCCGAGGCCCATGGGCCTCGAAGCCGGGGCCGGGCGTCCCCTGCGCGCCGCCTGCCAGGGGCTCCCCGCGGCGCTGCAGCGGCAGCTCCGGGCACAGCTCCCCGTCCTCCCTGCAGGCTTGCAGCGCGCGAGCGGGGGTGGTGGTGGTGGAGGTGTGGGGGGCGAAATGCTGAGAACAAGCGCCTTGGGTAACCCCCCACCACCACCACCTTCCCGCCGGTGCTAGGGCGCAGGCACAGCCACCGAGCATCCCCCTAAGCAAAGCCGGCTCTTTGGGCAGAGGAAGGCGGCTTGGCACACCTGCCGCAGGTGTGTGCATGACGCCACACACACACACAGTGGGGTCCTTGCGATGCCACACGCGTCCCCAGAAAGGAGTGATTGGACCTGATCTCAGATCTTGGGTCCTCTGGCCTGCTGGGGCACACCAGGAGCCGTTGTCTCCTGTAGAGCCTTGACCTCCTCTGGATTTGCAGGCGGAGGACTGTAGTTGTTGATCAGCTGCTGGGCTGTCTTGAAGCTCGCGCGTTTCCTTGCAGACTGAAGGGAAACGGCTCAGATCGTTCCTAGCTCGGGAAGCAGGCAGTAGATTTGATCCCCCAGGAGACACTGTACCCCACCGGCCTGGTAAGATGTTCGGAGAGCCACGTGTGAAGCTCAGCTGACACTTGTGGCATGTGTCGCCGCTGTGCGTCTGTGTGTTTGGAGTCCAGATGGTTAAAGCTCTCCAGATAATAAGCTGCAGAATCCGCTGTGCAGTCTGTGCTGGTGGAGGGAGTTCCGGTGAGCAGAACCAGAAAGAAAATGTGCTTGGATAGCCCCCCCGTTTTTGAGGAGTGCCCTAGAGGCTAAGGGACAGGAGGACAGGGCTGCCTGCTGCAGCCAGCCAGCAGTTAGCATCGCCAACAAAAAGCATTGTAGCAACCCGTGGGTTTTTGTCACAAAGCGTGTGGCAGCCTTCAGCCCTGGGTTCCCTTGGACCGCAGGTCTCTTTGCTCATCCCCCACGGCCTTGTTTTTATTTTTGTTTTTCACTTCAGGTGTGCAGGCGACTGGGCATCATAGAAGTTGATTATTTTGGACTGCAGTTTACCGGTAGCAAAGGTGAAAGTTTATGGCTAAACCTGAGAAACCGGATCTCCCAGCAGATGGATGGGCTCGCCCCTTACAGGCTTAAACTGAGAGTCAAGTTCTTCGTGGAGCCTCATCTCATCTTACAGGAGCAGACTAGGTAAGGTGACACTCCTGTCCACCAATGTCAGGTCCTCCTGGGGTTCTGGTGCGGCCTCCCGGCAGCAGCGTTCACCAGGCCAGCGTGTTTGGGGCCCCTTGCATACCTCCTGTCCTGGAGCGCACTGCCCTTTTTTTGACATGAAGGGGATGCTGTGCAGTTGGCCTGCGTGCATTTTCCATCTCCTGTCTTCAGACTTCACGGGAGAGCAGGGTGGCCTTCCCACAAACCCCTGGGTTCATGGTAACATTGAAAAAAATATATATTTTTTTGAATTCTAAAAGAACCAGAAAGGGAAAAAGCCTGGCCGACTGAGTTGCTGATAGCATCCAGTGCCCGAGAGTAACCTCTGCTCGACAGTGTTACTGTAGGTCATTGTGGACGCGCTAACAGAAAGCAGGAAGCGTGCCTCTTGGGTTACTTCAACTTGGTCAACTTCTTCAGCTAGTGTCAGATTACAGTGTGCGGCAGAAATTCTGACTTTGCACAAACTTTGCAAGCTTTCAAACTCTTAAGGCTGCAGTAACTAACCCAACCCACACAGGCTTGTTGCGTTTCTCTCTCTCTCTCCTTCCTGAAAACCTTTTCTCTCTCCCTCTCTCTCTCTCTGTGTCTCTCTCCCCCTCTTTCCCCACCCCCTCCTCTCCCCACTAAAAATGTGCACTCCTCAGCACTGCTCGCTGTTTTTCTCAAGGATCAGGGAAACAAAGTTATGTTTCATATTTGTTGCTGAAATGCAAGACTTCAGTCTTAACCATGGCATGTCCAAAACAGAAAAAAAGAAAAAGAAAAGAGAAATGGTTGCTTTTAAAAACAGCAAACTTGGAACTAAGCTCTAATGTTTATCATAATCTTTTGCATTGGAAATCTGCCATGCATGTGAAAAATGTGATTCTGAAAATTTGGAATAATGATGACTGAACGGTATCCTGGAGGGATTTTTAAACACGTTGGATTCTTGGGTGTGTTTACCAAAGAGCTGATAGAAACACATTTGAAATCGTTTTGCACTTTAAGAGATAATGTCTGAAGGAAGCTGGTATATCGCATTTTGGATGCTCTTGCAAATGTCTTGCAAAATATTTTAGTGACTGCAGACATAAGGATATCGTAGCAGTCTATATTAATCAAAATGGGCTTTTTTTCCTCGAAACTGATTTGTGAAAGTTTCTACTTGACACGTCACTGCTATCACTTGCAATAGAGTATAAACGAAAGAAGTATATATAATAGAACACACTGGAATGCTCGTTACGATTTGCAGTCTTTATCAGGGCTACCAGATGCAGCCCGGTTTTGATGGCATTAATTTGTGTTTTTGGATCTGCACAAGCTTGGAGGTCCACATACTTTGCTTCAACAGTGGAGGTGATGAAAGCATGGCGTGTTTGTACTGTGCATCAGTCAGACTTTGTAGCTGCTGACTAGATGGTCTCCCTGGGCTTTCCTGTAATTGGGTTAATAACCTGGTGTCCATTCCATTTTATTCATGCCAGGAACGGAGGCATTTTATGAATTAGAACTTGAATCAAATTTCCTATCTGGGTTTTTCTTCTCTTGACTCAATTTCCTTTGAGGCTGTGACATTCGTGGCTGGTTGCACTCATATGTGTACTTCAACCAGGTAATTTTAATTGACTGTTGAAAGGTGTTTCATTTTAGGCTTATAATATGTTGGTGAATTTTATTTGTTTTTATGGAGTTGGCTGAAATATCAAACTATAGGAAAATGCCATTTAAGGTTTATATAGCATTCTGCTTTAGCAACCAGACAACATATTATTAGCATTTGTACCTCTAAATATGAGTACATGGGAATTTGAATGGGTCCAGTGTATAATTACCATTATTTTGATATGCATAATACCATAGAACAAAATAGTGTAATAAAGCTGGTTGATGAACTTTTGCATGTCTAATGATTTGTTATACAGTGTTTGTACAAGATGCTATGAATATACAACAGGTCTGTTTCTGTAGTGAGTAAACTTGACTTTGACAGCCTGTTTGTAAGAGGTGAATTTTCTACTAAAGCAAGTCATAAGGGTGCATTTAGTATACTGCAAGTGTCTGGACAGCTTATTAAATGGTGCTGAACTAACCTGGCAAAGTTGTCCTCTGTGAACAATTAAAGCAGCCAGCTCACAGTGGAGCTGGCCTAACTATGAGCCGTTAACACACTAGTTCACATCGGATTAGAGGGGCCGCTGGGAGGATGACAGCTAGGAAGGCAGGACAGGCCCGAGGGCCAGGTGAAAGGGCTGTACCATCTCCCCCAAGGCTGGATTTCGTCCATTGAAAACCCCTGAAAGGGCTCCCCCCTCCCCAGCAGTAGCTTCTTAGCATCATTACTGCTTGCTTCTGCTCTGTCTGCGTGTTGCTTTGCTGACTAGCTCCGAAGATAAAAAGACACGCCGGATGTCTGCCTGGGCCGGCAGAGAGGAAAAGTTCATCTGGTCTCTGACTTGGGCTCCTTTTAAATTTGATTCTGTTCCCCAGATCATGAGTCTGGCTCCTCGAGGGGGGGGGGGCCTGCCACATGCAGAGGGGTTGAGGAGGGTGGGGATGTTTTTCAGACTCAGCTGGCATGTTCTTAGAGCTGGCGGCAGCAGGTATTCTCAGCAGATGTTTGCCAGGCTGCGGATTGAAACAAAAAAGTGAAACAAATTGATGCATTCTGAAAGTGGCTGTAAAATAATCATCTTGGAAATTCTTGCCTTTCAAGGGCTTTGCAGTTATTCACAGCAATTCAGATTGGATTTTGTCAACATTTTCACAACCAGAGATTAGAGAAGTCTATACTTAATCATCACAGTGGTAATTACCCCACCCACTGCCAACACAGTCTTGTTTCTCCTGACTTGACCAGAGCTCATACGGTTCTGTGGCCTCCGCGAGGGACAGTCTGGCTCAGTGAAGGCTCACCCACACCCGACTCCCCTTTCCCAGAAAACACTCCCCTCCCCGCCATGCAGAGATTCCCAGAAATGCTGCAAGCCTAGAGGTTGCATTCCCTCCACATTTCCGTGATAGCAACACAGCGACGAGCTCCCTGCCACCTTCCTGACCTCAGCTTAGTGCAGTGTCTCCGTGGTAGCATTGAGTGACTTAATAACACTACATTTGCTTCAGCGGCAGTCCACTTGTTGTCAGTCTAATCATCCAAGTCCTGTTACACAGGGAACTACTAAAGCATTGTACTTTACCCGGTGCGTAATTAGCTGTTGAATGAACTAGAAAAACATGTAAATAAAGAAAAATGGAGCGAGCTGATTTTTCTTGCAGATTTTTTTTCCTTTCAGTTTGCTTCTATAAACTGAGAAGTTGAGAGTGCCTCAAATCTCGCCATTAAAAATATATGTTAGTGGCTTTATCCTGTGTGGAACTTGGTCTGTGCTTGGAGTTCTTTTGCTTGCTTTTATCCCTTGCACCTCATGCCACACATCCTGTGACTATTAATTCCTCTCTCTCACCCTCTTTTTTAAGATTGATTTATTTTTATTGGAAAGTCATATCTACATAGAGAAGGAGAGACAGAGAGAAAGATCTTCTATCTGCTGGTTCACACTCTAAGTGGCTGCAATGGCGGGAGCTGAGCCTATCCAAAACCAGGAGCCAGGAGACTCTTCTGGGTCTCCCATGTGCTTGCAGGATCCCAAGGATTTGGGCCATCCTCAGCTGCTTTCCCAGACTACAAGCAGGGAGCTGGATGGGAATTGGAGCAGCCGGGACGTGAACTGGCACCCATATGGTATCTCAGTGCTTGCCAAGCAAGGACGTTAGGCACTAGGCTACAGCACTGGACTTTTTTTTTTGAAGAAGAAGAAGATTATTGACTGACTTGAAAGGCAACTAGAGAGAGGGGGAGGTAGAGAGGTCTTGGATCTGCTGGTTCATTCCCCAAATGGCTGCAACAGGTGAAACTGTCTGAAGCCAGGAGCCTGGAGCTTCTTCCTGGTTTCCCATGTGGGTGCAGGGACCCAAACATATGGACCATCCTCCACTGCTTTTCAAGATGCATTAGCAGGGAGCTGGATCAGAAGTGGAACAGTCAGGACTCAAACCAGCACACATGGCATGATGGCACCCTAGGTGGTGGTTTTTACTTACTATGCCACAGTGCCAGTTCCCGTTAGTTCCTTTCTAGCATGAACGCCCACTGGCCTGCGCTTTGTATGGTTAAGTGTTTTCCAGCTAAAACATCAGTTCAGCTAAATTTAGAAAATGCATAGTCCTAAATATTTACTAACCCAGTATTTCCTTGCCTCCCAACAACAACAACAACAAAATGCTGCAGACTTTTAGAAACAGGAGAAGTGGCATTATTTACATTCTGACAGCAGATGCAATGCGCAAACTCTGGGCAAATGCAGTGTGCTCAATTCAGCTGGATTGGATTAGGGCAAGGCTGTGCCCGAGTTCTGTCCCAAGTCTCAGACCTTGGCCCGTGTCGGTGATTTTTCTTTGAGAGGTTCAGGTTGAGTAAGCTCTGAGGGTGCTGATTCTGTATTGTCTGTCCACGATGAAGGTTTCGCTTATGATCAGCCTATCAGGCATAGGCCTAAGAATCAAGTGGTAGTTTTGTGGTTTTTTTTTTTTCTTTTTCTTAAACATGTCGAAACACAAAATAAGCCCTGGGAAAGTGAAAAGATAAAAAGGACGTGTGTACATTATTTCAAAAGACAGTATTTCGCTTCATTTCATTGAGTTTTTACTTCTGTTGAGACTACGGGATGTCTATGTTAAAATACACACACACACACACACACACAAGCATTCTAGCCAAGGAACTCATCTGGGCTCATTCAGTCTCCAGGAATTTCTGATACTTACATGGTTGCATCCAGTACTCAGATAGCATTTTTAAAATGTCATCAAATGACGAATAAAATCTGAATGTTTGGAAGCTGTTGGGGCCAGCTTCAGGGTGACACCGTGTGGCGCAGCTGCAGGACACGTCAGATGTGTTCATTCTCTCGTACCTGGTCCCTGCCCTCTTG